AAAATTCCTGACTTTTCCAATTTTCACGTCGCTGTTTTCCCTGGAAAATTCCAGGTTTCCTCGACCGCTGAGAACACTACTTCACTAGAACCGCACTGAAAGAAAAGTGTTCGGATCCAGAGGTCAGACTCCTAAAAAATTTGACAAGAAAAAATATTTGTGATTCAATCAAATTTTTGCTGGAATCGAGAGCCATGCCTTTTAATTTAAGCGGATTTCCTTTTGATTCAAGCAAAAATTCGATTAAATCAAGAGTATTTTTTCTTGTCAATCTGTTGAAGAGAATGAACTCTGGATTCAAGAGACTTTTTTGCCCAGCGCGGGTCTAGTTTGATGGGATCTATCTATCCAAAGCCTAACGGACCCAGCGGGCCAATTATTGAAATCGGTAAACAAAACTATAAACAAAGAAGATAAAAGGGATATGGAGCAGGGGTCCTATTGGTGGAAGCGTGTGGTTGCAGTAGACAAAGGAGGTAGGGAATAGACTAACTAACAGCAACCCACGAGAGGCCCTGTAGTTAGTCCATTATTTTCTCCCTTAGTCGATAGGTACCATGCATGTCAACCAATAGGATAGCTCCATACTCCCTATGTCTCCTTTGTCTATGTAAAGGAAATAAAATATGTGAAAATATTTGAATAAAGTCGGCTCCAAAGCAACTTTTGGCTATAAGGCAGAGGTTTGCTCCAAGATATACACAGCATTGTATCAAGTTAAAGCGACAATTTCTTGATTCAAAATAATTGTTCTCTTAATTTGAGAAACTTTATTGTGTTATTGTATTACAAGGAAGATTTCTTGATACGAGAAAATCGTTTCCTCAATTTGAGACAATCTGTAGTGTTCTTTTATTACAAAAAATTGTGTTCATTCATGGCGACAACAGCCGCGGTGTTGACTCAACAAAAATCGTGTAGAAATGGCACAATATTGTGTTGCGCCAACACTAAGCCTCCTAACCCAACTTTGTAGTGACAATTTAAAGCAACTCGTTTACTCCAATCATCACAACACGGCTCAACACAACTTTTTGGTTTGATATATCCCTACGATTTTTTCAGTGTATAGCTTTGTCTATCAATTTCAATAGTCAGTCCGCAGTCGAGATTTTAAACACGCTAAAGTCAGGTATCGGTTCGAAATTCCTTCCCTAAAGGCGTGCTCTGGGAAGGGCGCTCTACTGAGCGACTAAACCGCACGGGGGGGATTGCGGGGGCCCCTGTGCGGGCTGCCTAACTTGTAGGCGAAATCTGTTATCTGTCGGGAGAATAATGACGTTTTCGGCGAGTTATTAATCGCCGCAAGTTGGCGAGTAATGGGAATCTCAGTTTGACTGCCCCCCTCCCCCCCGCGGGCCCCTCCAACCCCCGGGAAGCCCCGGCGAGGTCAGGGCGGGAGAGTAGCGACTTATTGTTACGTGTCTCCCATACCAACGAGCACTGCCTGGCTTATCAAACTACGATGACTTCTCCTCTTGCCCACCGCCACCGCGCCGCCAGACCTTCGTCAAAAGTCAACCAACTCGGTGCCGCATTCGGCGCGTGTCCTCGCTGAGCAAAAAGTTCCGTCAAATGCATTTTTAATACAGTCTCAACGGGATACTATTCTCAATTGAGATGATAGGTCATGGAGGTGGTTTCTCATGTGGTCCAACTGGACGCTTATTTGGATTACATTTTGGAAAAAGGAACCGAGAGCATTCCGATGTTGCTAGGATTGTGCAACTTACACTCTTCGCAAATAATTACTGAAATCATGCAAAAAATTCAGAATGTTTTGCAAAAAATTCAATTTACAAAGGTAATTTTTGAATGGAATTCATGGTTTATTGGGAGTAAAGATAAAACTTGTTTGGTTGATCAGTTTCTATTTGCAAGGTCAAAAAAGTTGCACCCATCTTACACGGAGGAAAAAAACCTCGTGCGGGGGACCCGAAGTTTAGGTCATATGGATCTCTGAAGTTTTCAGATTAAGCATCTGAACATTTAGGATCTAGCTGTCGAGGTTCGGATCACACATCTGAAACTTCAGTTCTTACATCTGAAGTACTTCAGATGTGAAAACCGAAGTTTTTCGGATGTGAAAACCGAAGTACTTCAGATGTAAGAACCGAAGTACTTCAGATGTAAGAACTCAAGTTTCAGATGTGTGATCCAAACCTCAGCAGCTGGACTTTAAGTGTTCGGATGCTCAATCCGAAAACTTCAGAGATCCATATGACCTAAACTTCGGGTCCCACGCACGAAGTTTTTTCTCCGTGTGGATGCTCCTGGTTTCTTTTTGCAAAATGCGATCCCATTCACTTATTACTATGGAAAAATGAATTTCAAAAAATGGGTGCCACTGACCCACTGAGGGTAGAACGGTGTCGAGACATTTGGTTCGGCAACAAAGGCCACCGAAACGGGAAGGAAGCGAAGGTTTCTCGAGTCCAGCTCGGATGCGACGACGATTGGACGCTTGAGCGGACGACGAAGCAGTGGCAGTGCTCCCGAGTTGGACAGTTTTGACACGCGCGCGCCGCGACCGACGGGAAAGTCGCGTGTGTCCAGCTGTTACTCGCTCGCTAACTTCTTACTCCAACTCCGGCGGGACTCCGGGGCCCATTGCGCCGGATTAAAGCATCATTCTGAGCTATGACGAGAAAATCCCCGCCCCTCCTCCGCGACCCCCGAGATTAATCCACATAACGACCACTTCCAGTCGAAGGATTACAGCGCAGACGACATCAAGGTGCGAAATAGTTCCGCAGGAGTATTGCTGGATCCTTGCTTACGAAAAGCACTACGTCCTTTCAGCCCATGTCCGAATGAAACGATTGTGCACTTCTGTGCATGGGTGGTTTCACGATAGGTGGAATAGTTTTGTCGCCGTAACAGACAACACATTTTTCGGTCATATTTTTAGTAGTAATGGTAATCATTCGAATTTTTTTGCATTAATCTACACAGGGTTCCAGCTGGAATCTCGAGGAGAGATCACGTAAGGAACGAAAGAATCCGTGAGATCATGAACGCCGGGCAGAACATCGTGCATGAAATTATGACCAAACAGCTTGTCTGGTATGGTCATGTTCGACGAATGGCAGATGATAGGTTGCCTAAGAAGGTTCTGGATTGGGTTCCTCTTGGGAGAAGGCGTAGGGGACGTCCAGCAAAATCGTGGATAGGTGGCATTCAAGATGAAATCACAGGATGCCTAAAACCAGATGACCTCTGGATCGATAGGCAAGGATGGCGATTAGGTGTCGCAGAGCGCCCGGGAGCGCTGTAAAGCGACTCGAATGTATGTATGTATCTACACAGGGTTACGGTTACGTGTTATAACGCGTTTCAAAGATTTATTGCTCTACTTTTCAGTTTTAATATATAAATGGCCGAAAATGTGCTGTCTGTTACGCTGACTTTTAACCCCTGGTAAAAATTGGCAGTAGAATCTGTGTTCCAAAATACCATAGACCTACAGCCGACTGTAAGATTTCCAATAGCTTCTATAGCCGGCAACACAATTTCATATAGCCTTTTATAGCCGATGGCGATTAAGCAACAACCTGGCGATAAAGTGAATGCTGAACGTTACTAATTACGGATGTTAGGACTTAGTGAGTTTTTGGACTACCGCTCTCTTTATGGGCCGTAGTATCTTGATTTATTTTGCATGGAAAGCTCCGTACTTTTGAAGGATGCCTGCCATTCCTAATATGTTGGAGCGCCTTCAATTTCGTATGATACTGTGCAATACCTCTGGTGTAAAATAGTTGCTTCAAGCGCCGTGGTACGCTGCGGCGCGGCGGGCGGACAGCCAGCGCGAAACGCGCATTGGCGCCTACAAACCTAACAGGGATACTTCACGCATAAACCTAACAGGGATACTTCACGCATTGCGCAATGCGTGAAGTATCCCTGTTAGGTTTGTAGGCGCCAGTGCGCCGCCGCTCCGCTTTGTGTTAGGTTCTAATATTTCATCTCGTGGAGTCAGCGTTTTTCAACTCATGACTTTTGAAATGTTTCCACACTCTGACTCTGTATGGATTATTCTCATTTTAACTGATGAAAAAAAATATGCAGTAAAGGAAAATATAATGTGCGTTTTGTAAATATTACAGTGATTCCGTACAAACTTAAGGATTTACAAAGCACACGAATTTCTACACAATTTCTTGTAGCCTTTTACAGCCGATGGCGAAAAAGCAACAGCCAGGCGATAAAGTGTAAAGCCCGGCGATAGGAACTATAGCCCGGCTGTATAATTTTTTATCGCTTCGTGTAGCCCGGCCGTATGATTTTTTCCACTTTTTACAGCCAGCTATATGATTTTCTACCGCCTTCTTCAGTCGGCTATAAGAACTCCTATGGTATTTTGAAACGCAGCTCCTATCGCCAATTTTTACCAGGGACTGCGTAACAGAAGCACATTTTCGGAATTTACATAATATAAATTGAGAAGTAGAGCAATAAATCATTAGAAAGCGTTATAATGCGTAACACTTAGAAGATTAATGCGAACATATTCGAATGATTATCATTACTACTCAAAATATGACCGAAACATGTGTGGTCTGTTACGGCGACAAAACTATTCCAGTTATCCTGAAACCACTCACGTGTATTCTTATGGAGCTCGAGGCCCGGGTCACAGAGGAGACGATTCCTCCTAATTGAATCAGTGAGAACGAAAACACACCAACTTGGTAACTCGAAAATGCTCAATTTCCATTAAAGACAGTTAATTTACATGAAGGTCATTGAAGTTAGCGCATATGTTCCAATTTGGACCTTTAGAGTGTCAATAAAAGCTTGTCTTTCGGCAGCAAAAATCTTTTTCTTATACTAACTTCTCCACCTATTCTGCAGTTTTGTGTGTCTTGATTATTTTCATTTTTTCGAGTTGGTGTGTTTTCGTTCTCACTGATCCAGTTGAAATACGGTGGAATACGCTATACTCTTTCGGTCGGGGAGGAGTGAATCCTTGAAGAAATTTGATGGTTGGTACTTACTTCTGCTCGCCCATGCTCATCTCGAGGGTGGCGTCGAAGGGAACCACGTCGCGGGGGATGAGATCCTCGTTCTGGAGCAGGGCCGAGACCTCCGGACCCACCATCTCCCAGACCATCTCCAAGTCACGTGCCGAGGCTTTCTTCGCAGCGGCCCCTGCAAAACAACGCATAGATTATTAGCAACACTCCCGTCTCTTGCCACATTTCTTGTCAAACCAAACACTGGAAAAAAAAACAAGCAGTTCCAACGCCAAAGCGTTGGAGGGCGCTTCTTTAACACTGCGCATGCTAGGAACGTTTTCATCCGGCCAAGCGAGAGTATTGCGGACGGACGATGTATAACAAATTGCCTACGTGAAGGTGGTCCGGCAGCAACATACCCGCCGCTAGTCTCTGGAAAACAATAGAAAATAGTAGTTGCGTACGTTGCCAGCGAGCGCATCTGTTTCAATTACCTAGCATAGAGTCGGGCCTCTAACTTTCTATTCTCCCTGACATAACCTTAAACCTTCAACCCAGAGCCGCAAACAGCTGACGCTTGACGATGCTGCGCCGAGAAAATGAACCAATCACAAAATAGCACAGTAATACGTCACTAAAATGAAGAGATCACGTGACTGTTCGTGATTTTTTCGAATCAATCTGAAACTACAACCTCGAATATGAGGCATTTAAGCATAACGAAGCCCCAAAATAGTTTAACCAGGTAATACGTCCGTGCGAGATTGTTATGCTTAAAAGCAAAACATTTCACGAAAACTTTTACGAATACCAGATGCAGAAAAAAATCAAATTTTCCCGGGTGTACCAGAATGGCGTCATTACCCATAAGGCAAAACGGTATGTAGTATAGTACATGTTACATCGGGGGAGTCGAACGGCTGGAAAGGGCGCATCTGGTACCCAGAAGCGCCCAATACATTGGATCTAGAGTCCAGACTCTACAAAACATTGACAAGAAAAAATAATCTTGATTCAATCGGATTTTCGCTTGAATCAAAACGAAATCCGCTTAAAGTAAGAGGCTTGGTTCTTGGTTTAAGCTAGATTCTGATTAAATCGAGAGTACTTTTCCTTGTCAATGTTTTTAAGAGTCGGGACTCTAGATCCAATGTGTTTCTTTTTCCAGGGAAGTTCATCACAAATCTTCAAAACCAAAATCAGGAGCTTGAAAAGTACGCGGGGAAAAAATCAGAGAAAAAACCACATCGCGTAGCGCGTCTATAGGCCTGGATACACGCTCAAATTTCCGTCAAATTCAGATCAAAATTATGACAAAAATGGCGGTCGAAAGTTATCCAGATTGATGGGTAAAATTAATTAAAACAGCGTGTTGATTGAAATAAGCATGAAATAACTACGGTTGTGTGGAAATCAGATGATTGATGAGACCCGCAGTTCCATCATCAACCATCAAATTTTCGCAGGCCTCAAAAAATTGATGGTAGATGGTGCGCACCAGTCACCATTTGATCGGAAATTGATGGAAATTTGAGCTCGTATCCAGGCCTTATCTGCAGGAGAATTCGAAATATTCCATCATCTCCCAGGCGGGGGATCAAAACTAAACTAATCGTATTTTTCGTTTCAAAGCAAGGGTATATTTTCAACATAAAAATCAAGGAATTTCGAGGATGAATCGCGAAAGTTCACGCCATTTCCCCAGAAATTGTGTGTGTACTTAGTGCCGAGCGCTTTTTTTGGGTTTTGGACTTCTGCGAGTGCAAAATACGTCACGAACGCGTTAACATCCGTATGTTTACGCACACCAATTGTTTGTTGATGTTTACAACACACAAAATTTCCGGAAAAATTGCGGGTGTACTATTGAAGTATAGAAAAAATCATGTAAGAAAACCGCATAACGTGAGAGAAGTCTCTTAGCAGGAGAATCGAAAGATTTCGTCGTTTCCTAGACAAAACATGGTATATAACTTAAATTTAACGTTGCAAAATTTCTAGTAGTAAAATTTAATTTTACGAATATTGCGAACTTTGGATGGAAACTCCACAGTTTCATTAGTGTTCGCAAAATGTCTTGAAACGCAGAAACTATATACGCAGTAATTGAGGGAGTTTCAAATAATTCTATACAGATCCATCTAAACATGTCTCATTTTAAAAACGCAAAAAAGGAATTATTGCGACCGGTTCACACGTAGTTTGTTTCACACAAAAAACTTTCCCTAAGTGGATTGCATTTTGCAAAAAGGAACCAAGAGCATTCCAATGTTGCTAAGATTGTGTATCTTGTATTCATTCAATAAAATTACTGAAATCATGCAAAAAATTGAATTTACAAGGGTGATTTTCGTCTTTAAGTTATAGTTTATTGGGAGTAAAGATACAATTATTTTAGATAATCTGTGTAAATTTGCAAGGCAAACAAAGTTTCACAATATTAGCGACATTGGAATGCTCTTGGCCCCTTCTTGCAAAATGCTACACTGGGAAAAAAACATTGGATCTAGAGTCCAGACTCTAAAAAACATCGACAAGAAAAAATACTCTTGATTCAATCCGATTTTTGCTTAAATCAAGAACCAAGCGTCTTAATTTGAGCGGATTTCCTTTTGATTTAAGCTTGAATCTGGTTGAATCAAGAGTCCTTTGTCTTGTCAATGTTTTCAAGAGTCTGGACTCTAGATCCAGTGTGTTTTTTTTTCCAGTGAATCCAAGTTATGGAACAAACAATAATGAGAATATTGGACCCCCACTTTGACAGCAGTGCGCGCACGCACTCACCAAACATCAACCCCGCTCCGAACAAACAACGGAACACACTCAAATCTCTGGATGGTTTTCGGGTGCGTGAGGGAGGAATCTTAACTCCTTCAAGCTTTGAAGATTCAGCTGAGGAGAGCACGAGTGGTGGAGAGCGGCGTGCTTGTTCGACGGAAATATGCCTCTGCATGCCTCCTTTGATTGTTCAGTTCGTTCCGGGGATCAGAGGTAAACGAGCGGTAAGATGGGGCATTCACATGTTTTTGTTCCTTAATAGGTGGAATGAACGTGAGCCCTCTGCGCCTCTTGTGGTTACGGATTACAGATTCGTGGTGAATGGACCACTTGAAACCGAGGCATCATGATGAAAATTCCTGGAAGAATCCTTGAATCTCTACTCGACACGCTAAGATTTTTCTTTTCTGGGTTTTCCTTGTTTAAAGAGAATGAAAAGCTTTGAAAAAAAAGTCGCTTGGATATAGAGTCCAAACTCTTAATAATATTGACGAGAAAAAATACTCTTGATTCAATCAAATTTTTCCTTGAATCGAAGAGCTGAGCCTCTTGATTTAGGCGGATTTCCTTCTGATTCAAACGATTCAAACAAAAAGTCCAATTGACTCATGAGTGTTTTTTCTTGTAAATGTTTTTAAGGGTCTGGGCTCTAGATCCAAGCGACTTTTTTTCCAGTGCGTATGCTAAAATGCCCTATTTACTTTAAGTTATTTTCTTAATTATCCTCAGAGTTAGGGTTCTTAGTTTTACCAAAATATCTGTAACTGCATATGCAAAGTCCCTACTCTAATTTTGCAATTGGTAACAATAATTTTTGGCTTATCTGTAAAAACGCGTCCGTGCATAGGAAAGCTAATGGTATATACGGTGTTTCTAAACTAAGGCAGAAATTGTGGTTCCAAATTGCAAAATGTGGTCCAATCATTGTACAACTCGGCGGTATGACGTCATAGATTTGGGGTAGTAATGGACAAAGCGGGATCTATTTTCCGTCGGCTCAGCCATCTGAAACTTTCTAAGCCCCACAAAGTCCAATCGTTCAGAGCAGGTAGGGGTCGAAATGATTAGGAATTTGGTTCAAAGGAAGCTTTTACTTTGGGGCGCCATCCTTTAGCTGCTGACTTGCCTCAATCTTGGACGTTTAAAGCGACAGGTTGAAAGATTCGTTAGGCAAACTATGATATTGATTGGATAACTTTAGATATTTGATAAACTTGCTGGTTATATTTGTCGCCCTCGAGCTCCATGACTATGGAGGAGGTATAATTCCGTTGCTGCTCACGAGGAAATTCTGAATAGCCGAAATTAAAGGTGTCCACCACTTGTGGACAAGAGGTTCATTGAAGGTTTCTACTTGTGTCCGCTTCATGGGAAAAATGGATTGCTGATGTAACAATCGAATTGTTAAGAAGTATGTCCGACATGTTTCAAATGCACATTTTGCAATATCAGGGTGTCTACTAAAATAGGCTGGCTAGAAAATCAGTACTTTTTCAGTGCATTCCCAGGAAATTCAGTGCCTCCTCAACAGAAAAATGCAGTACTTTTCCAGTACCTTCAACTGACGACATTCGAAAAATTTCACAAATTTGAATTTCCCGCACAAATTGCGACACAAATGAAAGAAATTCTGGACTTTCTTGCGAAATTTCCGCAGTTTTTCAGTACTTCCGGGCCGCCCTTAAAACATCAGTATTATTTCCAGGCTTTCCGAAAATTCCGGACTTGTAGACACACTGAATACTGTAAAATCTACATTGACCCTTTCTTTACTACAAAATTGTCAAATCAGCATCACTGCAAAAAAAAAATCAAAAAATCAAAAAAAATAAAAAAATAAAAAAAAATAAAAATAAAAAAAAACACATTAGATCTAGAGTCGAGACTCTTAAAAACATCGACAAGAAAAAGTACTCTTGATTCAATCAGAATCTAGCTTACATCAAGAACCAAGCCTCTTAATTTAAGCGGATTTCCTTTTGATTTAAGCTTAAATCTGATTGAATCAAGAGTCCTTTTTCTTGTCAATGTTTTCAAGAGTCTAGACTCTAGATCCAATGTGTTTTTTTTTCCGGTGCATTTCCATTTTTTTCCGTGTTTTACGGCACAAATCGGCGCCGCGGAAGAAGGAATAGAAGGAGGAGGAAGGCGCGATATATGATTTATCTACGGCGAAGGTGCACTCTGTTTTTTCTCCTGCCCAAATGTCTCCGTTTCCGTTTCCGGTCCAGCACGTCATTATTTACGATAGATTTACCAGCCCCCCCCCCCCCCCCCCCNTTCGGCCCCGCGCCGCTTCCTCCCCCGAACCGGCCGCGATAATTAATCACCCCATTTCCGCGGGGGCATTCCCGTTTTTGCGCCCCCGAATTCCGCTTCTAATGAAGACACTTTGCGAGCCCTAAATAGGGGACC